CGTGGGGTCAATCTGTAATTATTTTATAATTATCCTATTTTAAAAGGCCCTCAATCTTTGCAATATCATTTCCCCGTTTATTAAAAATATTATTATTTAATTTTTTGATAGGGAAATACCNTAGAGAGTAGAAGAAAGAAACATGTAGTTCTTTTGCATTAATTGCATGTACATCTCATACATGCATGCACCATGAGTTCTTTCATGGTTAGTGAGAGTGTGACGAGAATAAGAGAGAGAACCATGATTTTCCTTAATGGTGAGTATGATGAGAATAAGAGAGAACCATGATTTTCCTTCATGGTGAGTAAGAATAAGAGAAGGAGAAAAGAAAATAAGAACAGAGAGAAAGAAAGAATAAAAAGAGCAGAACAGAGTTAAAGGAGAATAAAAGTATTAGAAAGAAAGAGAAAAACAGTGAGAATTAGAAATAGAAGAACGATAGAGTAAGGAAAGAACCAAAGAATGAGTTGCGGGGATTTACTTACTGAGCATTGTTGTGCTCACCCCATTGTTCTTCCCTGTTTTGCAGGAAATAGGAGCAGCGGTCGGATGAACGTCGAGGAGCGGAGAGTATTGGCACTACTGTCCACCAATTATGATATTTTGTATTAAGTAGAAAGTTTTTAATACATAGTATATTGTATTTGTAAAGAATTATATTTTATTGAGTAAAGAAAAAAATTTAAGCCCACTATTTTTCATACGCTGTGTATATCTATAATTTACATAGTATGAACTATAAGAATAGTAGTAGAGAGCAGGTGTTACATTTTAGCTAGCCTGATGGTACTCACCATGCTTCCCAAATGACTATAGCCCCTTGGTCTTGGGTTCGAGTGGTAAGGGAGGCGAAAGAAATCCCTTAAGGGGGGGACATTACCTAGTGAGTCACGTACCTGTGTGGGCACTGCGAGGAACTCCTGTGTGGGGCCGCGAGCATGACAATAAAAAGGCGCCTTTTTATTGTCACGCCCGAAGATCCACACAGGAATGTCTCTCGGTGCCCACACAGGTACATGACTCACAAAGTACTGTCCCCCCCCTCTTAAGGAATTTCTTTCACCTCCCCCACCACTTGAACCCAAGACCAAGGGGCTATAGTCAGTTGGGAAGCATGGTGAGTACCATCAGGCTAACTAGCCTGATGGTACTCACCATGCTTCCCAACTGACTATAGCCCCTTGGTCTTGGGTTCGAGTGGTGGGGGAGGTGAAAGAAATTCCTTAAGAGGGGGGGACAGTACTTTGTGAGTCACGTACCTGTGTGGGCACCGAGAGACATTCCTGTGTGGATCCTCGGGCGTGACATTTTACCCATATTCTCAACCGGATTTTACAAATAACGTTTGGTTCAATATTTACACAATGCAATCCTGAAAATAAAATCCTGACAGCTATCCTGACAGTTTTTTGACCGTTGAAGATAGTTTGTAGTCCTGCTTTTATTTCACTTTCTCACTTTTCTTCACTGCTTCTTCATTGACAATTCACTTTCTCAGTTCACCATTACCAGCTTCAATGCTTCACCACCGTCACTTTCTCACTTTGCATTACCAGCTTCAGTGCTTCACCACTATCACTTTCTCACTTTGCATTACCACCTTCAGGACTGTAAACGAGCCGAGCCAACTTGGCTCGACTCAATAAAAGCTCGTTTAGAGCTCGGCTCGATAAGGCTCGAGTCGACTCGACTCGAACTCGGTTTGTTAACCAAGTCGAGTTCGAACACAGTGAAGCTCGGCTCGTGGGCTCGCGAGCCTGGTCCGGCTCGCGTAAGCACTGTACACTTACATAGGGTGCTTTGGTGATTTTTTTAAACTATTAGTTATTAAACTGATATTTTCCAATGAAAAAGGTTTAAAAAAATGCAGTTCCCCCACCCACCCCCCCCCCCCCCCCCCCCCCCCCACAGTGCAAATTCTTATAACACGATACACCAAAATGCCAAGTCAATTTCAGTTCCTAATCCCAGTTGCCCTAAATCCCAAATCGCAAACAAAGACCCCCAAATCCCAAATCGCGAACCAAACACTCTGAAAGCGGTAATCTCGTCACCATCTCTGATCTCGACAACAAGAAAATGAGGCCCTGTGATGGCAGTTTGACTTGTTGTGACATTTTCATACCTATTGCCGGTGATTCTATTCATCTTCTAGCCCGTTGCACAGAATCTGAAGTTTCTCTATATACCACATTGAAAGTTTGATTTTCCTCGTTTTACCATTTGAGATGTGAACTTTGTCGATCCTCATAGACTTTGGCATCCAAATATGAAAAGCTTGGAGGTGAAGTGAGATGGATGGGCAAGCGTGATAAGGTCACTTGATCTCTTAGTTCTTGTTGTTCTTATTAGTAAAATTGTCTAGTTCTTTATATTTGTGGATGTATATCATCCTATGCGTGCAGTTGACTTTCCTTTTACGCTTTTCTAATATTTCATCAGATAATATATAAATCAGCAATGAACATGGTTGGTGTTTATGCTTCTGATTCTGTTGCCGTGGGTGATTCTCTTCACCATGATATTAAGGGAGCCAATGCAGCTGGAATCCAGTCAGTATTTACCACTGGAGGGATCCATGCAAATGAACTCAGACTCAACAGTTTTGGAGAAGATGCAGATTTATCTTCTGTCCAAACTCTTGCATCGAAATATGATGCATATCCATCATACGTGTTACCAGAATTCATATGGTAAAATCTTATCATGGTAAGCACTCGAAAACTCAAGATTTCATCATCTCTTAAATTCTTATTTTCATGTTTAACTTTACTTCTTCGACTTTGAGATGATGGTTAAAATCATTGCTAAATCTCAGTGGTAATTGATTTTCAAGAATGCATGAGTGAATTCTTGTTCCCAACTGCGGCAATTTTTTGTAGAAATGGTGGTTTGATCGAGCTTTATCGAGCTCGCCAGCCAGCTCGAGCTCGAGTTCGAGTCTCAATTTTGAGGCTCGCCAGGCTCGAGCTCGACACTATTGCAAATGAGCCGAGCTCGATAAGCCAAAAGCTCGGCTCGGCTCGTTTACAGCCCTAACCACCTTCAGTGCTTCACCACCGTCACAAACCATCTTTCTTCTCCAACATAATCTTCCTCCTGCAAATGCAAAACAAAGCACATTAGAATTCCGACCAGCCACCTGAATCAGAAAACCACCCCACAACACCACCCAATCAATCTGCCAACATCATCACAACAGAACAGCACGGCCACCACCACCCATCACCATCTTCCACCATCATCGCAAACCCACCACGAATACCCACCAACTTAGATATGTCACTGTTAAGCCACAAACCCTCCAATCGTCACAACCCCACCGCAACCACCCACGGACGACTGAGATCTATCACCGTTAAGCCACAAAGCCTCCGATCGTCACAACCCCACGGCAACCACCCACGGACGACTGAGATCTATCACCGTTAAGCCACAAAGCCTTTGATTGTCACAACCCCACCGCAACCACCCACAGATGACTAAGATCTGTCACCGTTAAGCTATAAACCCTCCGATTGTCACAACCCCGCCGCAACCACCCACGGACGACTCAGATCTATCACTGTTAAGCCACAAACCCGTGAAACCGTCACCGGAAATATCTCACTTCCGTGAAGGGAACACCGTGAACAGGAAAGGGAAAGGTGTTTTTTATTATTATTTTTTTCAGGTTTGTACATGTGTTGTCTGTATGATGTGCGCATGAATTTGTTGGGGAATGGAGTTTGCGAATGAGTTTGTAATAAATCTGTTGATTTTTTTTGTTTTGCAGGTTTGTAAATCTGTACCCTTGAATTTATTCAGAGAAGGGAAAGAGACCCGTTGGCTTTTGCGAATCCAATTAGCTTCGGTGACATGTTTGTTTTCAAGACACCCAACGCAATTGTCCTGATTTTTATTTTTATTTTGCCATTGTGTTAGTACTTTTTTTTCCTTTTATTATTCCTTTTAATTTGGACAAAATATTGTGCAGCTTCATATGTTATGCATGTAACATGCTATATGTAATGGATAAATTCTGGGAGTAAAAAATTATTGGATTATTAGAAATATTTTTTTTCGGATTTCACTAACTGATATATTTGTTCTATAGATTCGACATCGTTCTTTAATCGTAACAACAAATTACGCTCATATGCATAGATGTCAGTATAATTTGTCCTGACGTCACAAGATTGATTACTACTTGCAGCAAAGGCGAAAGTTTCGATGTTTTTCCAGACTTGGAGTTCGTCATACACCCTGTTGGTCGACATTGTCTGTTTCTTCCCCTGCATTGACGTCTTCAAGCAGTGTCGGATCGAACGAGGTATAAGTTTATCTGTGTTTACTTGATTACGTTTACATGTGCGTATGTCTATTTGTAATGTGATTGGTGATTCGTATGGTATCCCAATGTTAGTTGTCGTTCTTACCATACTATCCTTAGATGAGTGATAATATGAACTGGTCCGCTGAGATGACCCACAAATTTCTGATCCTGTTGTCTGAGTGAGCAAAAACTTCGCACGGCACTTCAATAAAAACAGCAGATTACCAAGAAATGTTGGATGACTTATCATCAGTGGCTAGGAGGAGACTCAACGTAACACAACTAACCTTCTAAGTACTTTCGCCTACGAAGAGTATATCAAGCATGGCGGAAATGTTGCAACACACGGGGTTCGGGTGGGATCATGACTCGCAAAGTCCAACGTGTCCCGTAGAGGTTTGGCAAGAATATGTGAAGGTAAATTTTCAACTTTTTTAACTAATATTAATCAACAACACCGTAATTATACGCATTTTTTTTTCGGACTGGCAAATATTAATATATTATTCTTTTGCATTACTAGCAAAACCCACTAGCGCAACAATTCTACCATAAGGGACTTCCTCACAAGGAGCTTTATGAAATCATATTTGAGAAGCAAACTGCCACTGGGAGATATGCGTACAACTCTACATCTCAACCGGTGGAGACCTCCACTTATTCCAATTAGGGCGCGATTCCCATGGATGATAGCGACTTTGAACCTGATCCAGATCAGACGATAGGGCAAAAACGGCTAAACACATCTGGCCATGGAAGAGCGAGAAATAGGAGGAGGCGAAGCGGCCCGGGACAATCACTTGCGGATGTCATTGGTAGATTGATGGACAAGCTTGTGGAGAAGCGAACTATGGGATCAAGGGCTAGCAATTGCAGTAGAGATGAGAGGGACGAAGAGAACACCAGTGGTCCATCTGATCCATTTTTCATGAGCAATTGTATTGACATCATGACGGCAATGCAAGTACCCATATAGTTTTACATGCCGGTTGTGAAGTACTTATATCAAAACCGAGGGTGGTGGGAGATATTCATGAAACTCCTGCTCGAGGAAAAGGCTAATTGGATTTATAATGACTTTCGCAATTTGTAGATGACATTATATGTCCTAAGTGTTTGCCAACACTTTTGTATGCGTCAATCGACAATTGTCATTAGAATTAGAATTTATAACACTACTGTATGAACTTATTAATTGTGCTACTGTTTTATGTGAGATTACATGTTTCATATGAGTTTTGGATTGTCATTAGAATTAAATATTGACTGTTATATTTTGCTAAGTAGTACAACAACTGTTAATTGTTGATCAATGTTTTGCAAATGTGCAGGTTTAAATGGCGTCGTCTAGCCGCACAAGAAGAAGATGACATTCTACAGATGACGAAGAAGAAATACTGAGAGATATAGCCATTGCACTCTGCGATGTTGCCACGTTAGAAACAACTGGGCGTCAACTACAACATACGTCCATATTAACTAGTCATGAGTACATGTTGGAAGTACTCAATGGTCATGCTGACAAGATCTTTGATAAGTGATGCATGGACAAAGACTGTTTTACATACTTATTTGACAATTTGTAAGAGCAAGGCAAATTGCGACCAACCAGGAGGACGAGTTTGGAAGAACAAGTTATGATATTTCTAACAATCGTTGGTAAAAACGAGACAATAAGAACGATGATGGAGGATTTCCAACATTCGAGTGAGACAATCTCTAGACATGTTGGTGCAGTTTGCGAGGCGATATGTGAGTTAAAGACAGAGTTTATCAGACCACCTGACTTCAGTGATGTTCCATGGGAAATATCAACCAACCGAAAATATTACCCTTTCTTTAAGGTACTGGTTCATTATGTTTTCTATTAGTGGATAGTTGAGGGTTCGTTTGTGTTATTAATGTTGATAGTCGGTTAATATAAGTAAAATTCAATTTCGATGATAGGACTGTATTGGAGCCATTGATGGCACACATGTATACGCTTCGGTTCCACATGAATTTGCCGATAGGTACCGGAATCGCAAAGGAACGTTGTCACATAATGTAATGGCTGCATGCGACTTTAGAATGATGTTCACTTATGTCGTTATTGGATGGGAAGGATCTGCGCATGATTCAAGAGTTTTAAATTCAATTATTGATGATCCTAATTCTGGATTCCCACATCCTCCACCAGGTATAAGTATTTTCTTGACGTATTATAGCGTATTTGCTCCACTGTTGAGGCCTTGTAATTCAAATAACATATATGATTTTATTAAAAGGAAATACTATTTGGTTGATACGGGTTATCCAAATAGAGAAGGGTTCCTCGCCCCTCATAGGCGAGTGGCTTACCATATTTCTGATCACTGCCGTAACCGAAGGGGGCCACAAGAGTTGTTTAACTACAGATATGCTTCACTCCACAATGTTGTCAAGAGAACCTTTGGTGTTTTGAAAAGACGGTTCCGTATTCTGAATGGAATGAGCAATTACCCGTTGGACAAACAAGGGAAAATTGTTATGGCATGTTGTGTACTTCATAATTTTATCAGAATGTATAATATGGAGGACCCTATCTTCGAACAGTATACTGAAAATATGGGTAATGAGCAAGTATATTGTGATCGCCAAAACGGTGCAGAAGATGGCCGAAATGGAGAAGGACCGAGTCAACTGCAGCAAGGTATTACAGACAAAATGACGACTGTACGGGATAATATAACGAATGCATTGTGGGTAGCACAGTGGACCATGTCGTAGTTGTTAATGGAGTATACGTGTAAGAATGATTGTAAGGGTTGATAATTAGTACTTTTGTCATATATGTATTAATGTGATGTTTTTAAATTGTTGGATTAGTACTTGAAATTAATATGGGTTTACATTTTTTAATATTTATTGGTTACAAAAGTACCAATAAAATGTTTAATATTATTAAAATGTAAATTGATAAGTTTTAAGGTTATAATAATACATTATTTTAACAAAATGCACCAAAATATTATATTAATAAATCATTTATAAAACGATATTTCAATCAAATATTCAACACAAATATCAAGGTCAAAATACTCTACCAAACACATATTCTTCAAATCATATTCTCGTAATAATAACTCTACTCAACTATCCAATATTATTCTCAAAATTCTATCCAAAATAATAAAACAAACGGACCCCTAGATTTTCATACTTTTAAAACTCTTCAAAAACCATTAAAAGCTACAAATAGTTTGTTTTATAAAATTCATTCTTTTCCGAAATTTGGCAGTTTTAACACACAAAGTCAAATTTTCGCTTCCATTTTCAAAAAACATCCAGGATATTTTATTTACATAAAAATCCCTTCAAAACATATTATTTTCTTGGGGTCAATCTGTAATTATTTTATAATTATCCTATTTTAAAAGGCCCTCAATCTTTGCAATATCATTTCCCCGTTTATTAAAAATATTATTATTTAATTTTTTGATAGGGAAATACCTATTATGACGTTATGTTAAGGGGGCGTTTGGTTGGGGGTTATATAGGATTATTGAGGTTATGTCATCTTATATTACTTAATTATCACGTTTGTTTGTCAAGTAATATAAGATTCCGGTAATCTTCCAATATCAACAATAGTTACTGTTGATAATATAAGAGGTCATCTGATAACCTCCATTTTCTTAGGTATTATAAGATTACTTAGTATTTTATATTTGTTACAATTTTATCCCTTAGGGGGTGTTTGGATCATATAATATTTTATTATAAAGGTATATTATATTAACGGAAAAAAAGATCACCTTAAAGATTACTGGAAATATTTAGAAAATATGTTTAGTTGATTCGAATAAATTGGTGAATAATATGTTTGGTTAGGAGGATAAATAGGTGGGTATGTTACATAGATTACTAAATTGTCCTCCTTTTTAAATACTAGTATAATAATATTTTTTATTATTATTTTTTGAATTATTTCTTTTAACTCCCTACATTTGAAATTTTGCTAAAACACCCCAGCCATATAAAACTTTAATTTATAGCAAAATCACCCCCACCCACCCCAAGCCACTGCCCGCAGCCAGCTACCACCACCGGTTGCCCCCAATAGTTGACGGAATGGTGCACAATTGGCCGTATATGGCCGGCCATGCACCGACAAAGCTGGAAATGGCCATGGATCACAAATATATGGTCGGAAAATGGCTAGATCTATGTCCATTTCACGGCCACATCTTTGGTCGTAAAACGACCATAGAAATCCCACTGGCCGTTTTTTGCCATAGATTTGTGATCTATGGCCGAAAAAGGCCTTACCGGCACACAACCAGCCAGATCCTACCGGTCGTGCACCATTACGATGACTGATGCCAACGGCCGACGATGGTCTTGGATGGCTGGGGGTATTTTGTTAACTTTTAAACTTTTTGTAGCTAGAGTGTTTTAGCTAATTTCTCAAATGTATGGGGGTTGGGTAATTGTTATTTGGTAGACATTTGAGAGCAATTATGTCCAAAATGGTTTTTAATTAAGGGCAAAATGGGAAGAAAAATCATATTACCCCGGTAATGTTTTAATAACACCCCCTAACAAGGTAATAAGATTATCCCCCACATTACCAACAGTAAACACTGTTTGCAATAAAATATTACCGTAATATTTTATTACTTGCAAACCAAACACAAGAATCTTGCAAAACAAACGAATATTACCCCCGTTATCTTATTTACCTTCGATCCAAACGACCCCTTATTAATAATTTTTTTGGAAAATAATGCCCTAGTTTTAAAATCAATTTACATGAATTTGGCTTTTACAATTTTACCCCAATTAATTAACTTTTTGGACAAAATTACCCTTGAATTCAAAACAAATTGCAGCTCATCCAAGCCACCACCCCCCACCCACCTGCCACTGCCAGAACGGCACGGAAGGCCAAAAATGGTCGTCGTGCACTGATATGGCCATTTTCGGCCAGATTGTCGATCTGGCTATCAACGGCCAGATCAACGAATCTGGTCAAAAACGACCAGATTAGATCTGGCCATTTTTCAACCATATCAGCGCACGGAGGCCATTCACAGCCTTCCGTGCACTGTTAGGTTGCCAGTTGCTGGTAACCGACAATGGCTAGGTTGGTGGGGGTGCATTGTTGATTTTTCAAACTTTTATTATGGGATTGTTTTTGCTAACTGTTTTAATGTAGGGGGTTGGTGGGGATGCATTGTTTGTTTTTGAAGTTTAAACTAATAATAATATTTAATTAGAGGACAATTCAGTAATTTAAATAATATATCCACCAATCTATTCCTCCCAACCAAACATATTAATATGACATACCCATCAATTTATTCCAACCAACCAAACACATTTCCCTAAACATTCTCAGTAATCTTCAAGGTTATTCTTTCTTTCCATTAATATAATATTCTCAATAATACAACATTTCCTGAACCAAACGCACCCTAAATGTTTTCCAAGTGTCAAACAAGTTACTTCAAAACTTCATAGTATTATGGTTTCCCAAATCATAATTTAGTTCAAACTTCAAAGTATCCATAATATTTTTATTTCACAAATTATTTTAAATTTTTAAATAATATCCCATGTTATTTATCAATAAAATTATATTTATTATGAATTATCTCAATTAATCGCGAAATTAAATTAATTATATATTATGTTTGTGGGATTTCCTTAATAAAAATTCATAATTTATGCATTTTATCTCTTTTATTAATTATTTATAAAATATTGATAACTTTTTCAAAAATTCTATCCAAAATAATAAAACAAACACACCGGAAGATATCTCTTATATATATGCTTGATATAAACAGTTGATTCATTAAAACATTAATATCTTTTATTTATTATTTATCTAAATAAATCTAGCCCCATTCCTAGTTAGTAAATTCGCGAATTATACGCCTACGCGTATAATTCGCGTATTATTCATGAACAGTTGTATTTTTAAGTCCGTCGTA